TCTATCTTCTTATATTTTTTTCTTCTTGTCGGTATTTTCTGGTAGTGATGAGCAGTTGCAGGGCTCAGTGGGGACCCCCCGTGTAATTAACGGCGTCAGAAGTCCCCTTCGAAGTCACTTTTGGACAGGATTGGGGCTGGGTGGGGCTTTTTGGGTGTCTGGAATTGGCACAGAGACCCAAACTGGACCCAGTGCCCAAACGTGGCCTCGCCAGCACCGTGAAGATCCTCCCACGTCAGTGAATGGTGGAGTCAAACAACTGGAGATGTTGGGGGTGCGAGGGACCACAGATGCCTGTAGAAAAGCAGGGATTTTCACTAGAGAAGATGACCTTTTTTGCTTTCTGAAAATTTTTTTTGGGGGGAAATACAGAGGAAAACACAGGGTTTGCTCCACCTCCAGACCACCCAAGTAACCCGTGGGCCATGGTTTCTTGCTTTGTTCCCCTCGTGTTTGGTTCTTTTACCCAAAACCTTGGCCCTACCGGCATTGCCTGGAGGGGTTCAGGTGTTGGGGGAGATGCAGCAACTGGATGAAAATTGTGAGGAACGCAGTGGGGAAACCCCAAAGAGATGGTTTTCATAGAGGACAACAGCATGAGGGACAACATCGTGAGGAACATCATGAGGAATGCGATGGGGAACATCAAAGAGATGGTTTCCCTAGGGACATAATGAGGAACATCATGAGGAACGCAATGGGGAACACCAAAGAGATGGTTTCCCTAGGGACAACAGCATAAGGGACAACATCCTGAGGGTCAACATCGTGAGGGACAACATTGTGAGGGACAACATCGTGAGGAACATCATGAGGAACGTGATGGGGAACAACCAAAGACCTGGTTTTCTGAGAGACAGCATCACTGGGGACAACATCATGAAGAACATCATGAGGAACATAAGAAGGAACTATCAAAGAGCTGGTTTTCCTGGGGACATCATGAGAAGTACCATGAGGAACCACCAAAGAGCTGGTTTCTGGAGGGACAACATCACATCTGCAACCCTGATTTCTCCCTCCTGTGGATCTTCTGGTGCTTGGAGAGGTGCGTGCTCTGCCTGAAGCTCTTCCCACACTCCCTGCAGGCGTACGGCTTCTCCCCTGTGTGGATGTGCTGGTGTCGGACCAGCTTGGACCTCACACAGAAGCGTTTCCCGCACTCTGAGCACTGGTAGGGTTTTTCTCCCATGTGGGTCCATCGGTGGACAGTCAACGTCGAGCTCCTCGTGAAGCTTTTCCCGCACTCCAAACACCTAAAACGTTTTTCCCTGCTGTGGGTCCGGTAGTGGGCAGCCAGGCTTGACCTCCGCGTGAAGCTTCTCCCGCACTCCAGGCACTTGAACGGTTTCTCTCTCGCCTCGTTTCTCCAGGGTGTAATTAAATCCCTGCTCCGGCTGCCCTCGTGCCCTCGCACCCTTTCCGCAGGGTCCTCATGGGTTGATGTTTCTCCATAGTTGGCATCATCTTCTCTGCCAATCGTCCCGCTGCCAATTTTCCGCCTCACCCCTGTTACAACACAAAAGAGAAAGCGGACGGGTTATTTCTCAGAAACAGGTAGAAAAATGTTCATTAACCAGGCAGGAAAATTGGGGGTGCAGCAGCTCTGCTTGCATGGCTCTCCAGCTGTAGAAGAAGGGGACTCAATGGTTGGACTTGATCTTAAAGGTCTTTCCCAATGAAATCATTCTAGAAATCAATAGAGAAGTTTATTCTAATGTTCAGCCAGGCTCAGTGGAGCTGTAGCTCCTCATAGGATCCACATTTCCTCATAGGATCCATATCTCCTCGTAGGATCCATCACTCTTTGGCTAAAATCCCGCTGCGGGTTTGATGGGATACAAAAATGTGGTGTAGGTGGTCATGAGTGCCCGCACCCCCCCATCCTCACCTGCATCTTTGCTTCTCGGGGCTTCTTTTTTCTCTGTTTCCTGAAGATCGGGGCCCCAGCGCTCTCCTTCCTCTGGCATCTGGGGTAGCAAGGCTGGCTTGGCTGTGGGAAAACCTGATCCGGAGGGTGAAATCAGGAGATGACAGCACGAGGGACTCAAGAATGGTAAAGAAATCTGGACTTCCTGAGGGACATGGGGTGGGAAGGAGGGTGCTATGGGTGGACATGTGTTCCCCACCCAAGCCCCACAGAGGGCCAACATCAAACATTGGCCTAAACCCCAACCATTAGGATGGAGCTGGTCCATCCAGAAGGGCAAATATTTCCATTGGCTGGAAAATGACATGGAAAAAAGGACTTGAAAGGACTTCTGAATATTCGTCCTCACCCCACACACCAGGGAGATGGTTTGTCTCACTCCTGAGCGCTCAAACCACCCAAAAACTGCAAGCATCTGCAAAGGCCATGAGAGCCAAAGCTTGAGGAGCTCATGGCTCCAGCACTGGAAGGGATGGGACCCCTTACCCAGGGACTTGACGGTCTCATAGTTCTCCAGCATGACGACCACGTAGAGAGTCCTCTGCTCCGGGTCCAGCAGGGCCCATTGCTCCTCGGTGAAAGACACGGCCACCTCCTCGAAGGTCACTGGCTCCTGCTGCAGCGAGAGACCTTCAGGACGTGGATGCCACGGCCCCAGCATCTAAGAGCGAGAAGGATGAAAGACCCGCAAGGTCTTGGGATGAAGGAGCAGAGATGGTCACAGCCATCCCAGCCAACTGAGAAGAGTGCGGGGCGTTGAGGGGAGAAAAACGAGGACTTCTGGGACCTGAAGATGGACCTCCAAGGTCAAAACACCCAAGGGGACCCATCAACCTCCTGGGGCACGGCACTCAGGGAGGTTTTGCACCCCTAAATAAGCGTTTCCTTTCTCATCCCCCCAAAAGGGTGCATTTTCTCATGGGTGACGGTTGGAAGGAAGGAGCAAACCCCCACCCAGACCCCGATCAATCGCTTACCTGAGCCACTTCCACCATGTCCATATCCTGGGGTTTTTTTGTGTTTTCAGGACATTTTCCTATTCCGGAGTAAAATGCAGCAGCCTGGCAGTCCTAGGCAAGAAAAAAAGGAGAAAAGGAGCAAAACCAAAGATTTTTTGGGGGGACAATCATGTACAATTGAAAAGTTTGTTGCAAATTTTGGACAATGAAGAAGAGCCCAGCAGCTCCACAAGCCCGGGAGTTTGTGGGGAGGGGGGAAAAGGGGTCAAGGTGGGGTCAGCGGGGGGGGCACAGCAAATTTTGGGAGACC